CTGTGTGATCTAAAATTGGGAAAGTTGCCCTTCTCAGAAGTTCTTTCCATTCTCCAATTACTAGTATACTTAAAATCTTTGAATATTAACTTATCTAATGCACACATTGCCAATTTCATATTCAAGAACTACTTAATTCTAGTCCATGTTATGTGAAATTGTTGTTAGGTTAAGAACACATGATTTGTTATATCCAAAATTAAAGTATACTAGCGATTGTTGAGTGATTTCTCCGTGTATTTTTTATGCTATAAATGACATCTGTCCAGTCAATCTATTATCATTCTCAAATATTTTATATAAATAGTCTTGATTTTTGGGAACAAAGAAAAGATAGTTACAATGGATTTTATTAGGGTTTTATCTTCTCCACGATATGATTGTAATCATAATCTGAAACAACTTTTTCTGTGCCCCTTCTTTTCCATCCCAACTTGGCAGTGCATGGAAGAAGCTAGTGTAGATGGTGCACTGATTGTGCAGCCCATTAATCACATGTTCGACCATTCTTTAGTAACAAGGTAACAAATGTATTTCTATGTTGACAGAAAAATTCCGTTACTCCTTTTCTAGTATATGCTGCACTGTTGTTTGGAGGACCAAAACTTTACAAGAAGATCGTAGTTGATATGGATAAAACAGAGAGGGGAGAAGGTAAGCTGTCCGTTAGTAGATCATAGCATGTGACAAAACAATGTCATTTGGAGTGATAACTCAATTTTTGACCACATGGAGGAGATAATCATTACTGTTGCTCAAACTTAAGACCCTTTTATCTGCTAGATGTAAAAACAAAGTCTGGAGAGCAAAGTGTCTTTGGAGGAAACATTGCCCGGTTGGAATTTTATTTATCTCTTCCAGTTTCAAACTTGTTGTAGGTTAGATTGTAAAAAGAGCATTAGATTCAAACTTGTTGTAGGTTAGATTGTAAAAAGAGCATTATCTACTTTCCCTTGAGAATGTGTATGTTTAATGATTATCTAACCATACATTTTTTTGCCTCAAAAGAAAAATTTCTTCTTTTGTTAATCCTTGTTACATTGCCTTTTCCTTTATATCTTTTCATAATATAATTCCAAAAGGTATGATTTGATTCAAACTGTATCATGACAGCGTCCTGAAGAAGTACCTAACCAAGTTCGTTGGCTGTTGCCTAGCAAATCCTGCGGAAGATGGAAGTGGGGTTAAGCAACTTGAAAATCTTATTATGGAGGTCTTTGGCCTGCTTTGTGTTATTTGACACCCCTAAAATAATGTTACATATATCGTTCTAAGCAAACCATTTTCTTGGTGTTAGGATGGCTACCATGCTGTTCGATTTAATCCCTATTTGTGGCCGTCTGGTCAAAAGGTACTGATCTTAGTGCAAGAACAATAATTGCTAGCTATGTTAACCTGTCATTTCTTGTTATATCTTCTAGATTTACTTCTTTACATTTAATAAATGTGTCGACTTCTACTTAGGCGAAGTAGCTTATAAACAACCTGTAGTGACTGACTTGTTTATCAAACACAATAATAAATTAATTGTTGGCTTCTAAGATTGAAAGATTTTTCCTAAATTGCTCAAAAGAGGGTGGCTCAATACCTCTCATGTGTCATATGTGGCTAATCTATAAGATATCCCAAAAGACGCATACCCGTGTGTCTTATCAATAAGATACTGTTGATAAGGATTTCATACTAAGTAGAATAGTATATTATTTAAAGTTCTAATAATATAATTATATTCTATAATTAGAGTTCAAATAGAATAAGAATAATTAATCTATATATATATTCTAAATGTAAAAAAACATGTAATAAAAATTAGAAATTTATTTTCTCTAAAAACTTCATGATATCAGAGTACTGTTAAAAACTGCAGCCGCACATACATAAGCGCTGGTAAAAACTGAAGTTATACATTCGCAAACACTGGTAAAAACTGAAGCCGCACATTTACAGGCATTGGTAAAAAGTGCAGCCATACCTTCGAAAGCGTTGGTAAAAATATACAACCGCACAACCGTAAATGCTGATAAAAAGTTGCAGTCGCATATCCTCACGCTCGGAAAAAGTGCTGTACATCCCAAGCACCAGTAAAAAGGTGCAGCCGCACATCCGGAAACGCTGGTAAAAAGTTAAAGGCGCACATCCACAAGCACTGGTAAAAAATTACAGCCGCACATCAGCAGATACCGGTAAAAAAGACCACACCATTATCTTTTTCTGCGCACGTTCAGAGATTTGTCCGGAGAAGATAAGCCAAGCCGACTTTGAGCTGTTTTAGAGCCAAGTGTGAGCTGTTTTAGTACTAAACTTGAGCCGTTTAGAGCCGAACTAGATCTGATTCCCTTTTTTTTTGCTGCTTGGTGCAGATAGAAGGTCCGTTTTTCATTATTGGGTATTTTTTCTTCTTATTTTTAGCATTCTAAAATGATAGAAGTAAAAAAAGTGAGTGTTATTAGATTTAATAATCCTTCATTACAAATCAATTCCATAAAACTTGATGAAATTAATTATCTTGCTTAGTCAAAATTTTATTTATTGTTTATCAAATGTAGAGTATTGCAAGGTTACATTACTAGTGCTGTGAAAAAACTAAATGTTGGTAGTTTAGAATATAATAGATGGGACTCTGAGAGCTCATTAGTAATGTCATGACTTATAAATTTCATGCAAGTCTATATTGTCAGAACATATCTGTTGCTTAACACTACCGAAAAACTTTGGAATGTAACATGTCTTACATATTCACAGATGGGAAATGACGTCCAAATTTATCAACTCCGGAATAAAATTCATGACACAAAGTAAAGAGAGATGACTATTTTTTAATATTTTTCTGAACTAAATGGATTATGACAATAGTTAAATTACTATCAAGATTTTCAAGTAGAGTGTCCTACAGATGTAGTCAAATTTCAAAAATTGATAGAAAAAGAGCGAATTTATAATTTTTTAGCTGAACTGAACACCGAATATGATCAAATACGGGTCCAAGTGCTTGGTAAGGATCATTTGCTTTCATTAGAACAAACTTATGTTTATGTTCAGTAAGAAGAGAGCAAAAGAAATGTCATGCTTCACATTACACTAGTTGAAAAGGCTGGATTAGTTGCTCAGTCTGATTAATTCAGAGATACGTGGAAGTGTGATTATTGTGGCAAACCAAGACACACTAGGGAAACTTGTTGGAAGTTGCATGAAAAACTAATTAGAGGTCAAGGAGGAAGAAGAGGTGGAACCACAAAAGCTCAAACAAATTTTATTGAAGTTAGGGAAACACCTGGTTCACCATCCGTTAGAGCCTTTTTCACAAAAGAAATTCAAAATCTGAAGCGCCTTCTGAGTCAACTTAACTCTCTATTAACTGTTGGCACATCAAATATGGTAAAATAAGATATTATTCATTCTATTTCCATTTTTGATAATTGGATCATAGATTTTGGAGCTAACAGACACATGACAGACTCTTCTAAAAAATTTTTAACCTATTTTTCTTGTACTGAAGAGGATAATGTTCATATAACAGATGGGTCATACACGTCCGTGTCGGAAACATGTTCCATAATTGTACTTCTACTATTACATTGTCTTCAATTTTACGTGTGTGTAGTTTTTCTGATAATCTTTTATCTATTAGTGCCATAATTAAAGATCTCAACTGTAAAATTAAATTTTTTCTTGATAATTGCATATTTTAGGATCTTCAAATCGGGAAGAAGATTGACACTGGTAGACTGCAAGATGACTTATATATGTTGGATAGACATTTTAACTTAAATAAAACAACCATTGGGAATAAAGAAGTCAATATAGAAATACTACAATGGCACCGACGATTGGGACATCCTTCCTTTTTTATTTTAGAAAAATTATATTCTAAATTATTTAAAAGAACTTTTATGGAGTCTTTGTTTTGTGATGCATGCAAACTTGCTAAACATATGAGGAGCTCTTATCATTTAAGTAACAATAGAAGTACTGATCCTTTTATGACTATTTACTCTGATGTGTGGGGACCTACTCAAAATACCTCTCTTTTTGGTCATAAATGGTTCGTTAATTTTATTGACTGTTGTACTAGATTAACATGAATTTATCTATTAAAAGCATAAGATGATGTATTTTCATATTTTCAATCTTTTCACAAAATGATATGCATATAGTTTGGTGCTAAAATTAAGATTCTGCGAACTGATAATAGTATAGAATATGTGGAAAGTGGGTTCCCTGACTACTTGGAGTCAAATGGATAATTCATCAGACAGTTATACCTACACCAGTAAACAAAATAGATTGCGAAAGAAAAATAGACATATACTAGAGGTAGTTTGGTCACTATATG